CTTTTCATGCTTTGGTGTCACCACAGGGCTACAGTGGTGTCACTTCTACAAGTGAATTGGAGCTGATTTGACATCATAAAGCCACAAGGATTTTCTGATGGTTTCCACAAGCACAGAAATCACTTTGATGATCCTCGTGGGTCCCCCCAAGCTGGGATGGATATTCCATGATCTCAGGGAACACAGTCAGCCTCCAAACCCCAGGTTGTGGAGCTGGGCCCTTGTTTTCTTCTATTTCACATCATCAGTGCCCTGAGTTTGTTCAAGGGGCGCTCTGGGAACAGTGGGGGGAAGATTTGATTGGAAGTGTTGGCTTTTATGGTGTTTCCTCCCAAAACAACTGCAATTCCCACCATGGCTCTGCTGACACAAAGGAGGAAAATGTCAAATTGAAGAGAAAAAGCTTTTCTGTGCTGCAGGCACTGGTGATGTCACCAGGAAAGGAGGATCTGCCTGTGCCCAGACACTCCAACTCCTCCCTGGGTATTTTCAGTTTTCTTTTATTGATTTCACATCTCTCCTTGTCAACATCAAGGCTTCCTTGAGCAGTGTCACAACACAAATAACTGCAGAAAGCCACCACCAGCCAAATGGTGCCAATGGCAAGGAAACAACACTGTCAGCCTGAGTCATGGAATGTGCAGGGTGCTGGGAGCTGGTGTGAAGCTGACAGCTCACTGGTGGCTCTGGTTCATCCCCAGCATCATTTTTAGCTTCCATTCTCCTCTCTCCCTCCCATCCCTGCTATTTTTAACACAGCTATAGAAAGGAAGAAAACAACAGATTGGGATTCTATGTGGGGCACTGGGAAAAGCTTTACAGCTCCAACTTACATAAAACACACAAGTTTATAAACAAGCCACAGAGACACAGAGTTCCTGAGCACAAACCCTCCCAGGTGCAGGAAAAACAACCCCAAAAAACCCATTCCTGCAGCACTGACTGCTGAAACCCCAGTGACCCTTCAGGCTCCTCTCCAGCCAAGCAGGCAGAACCTGGAGCTTGAGCATTCCCAGTGGTGGCATCCAGTGGTGACACCCTCTGGGAGCCACAGGCACAGTGCCCCACTTGCCTCGTGTATTCATAAAAACAGAGCCTGAATTTTGGGGCTTAAATGTTTCTAATCTCTTCCCAAAGAGCCCCAAATGCACCCAGGGCTCCATTCAGGAGCTTTGGAAAGAGCCAAGCACTTCAACTGCCTGCATTAAAGGTTCCTCCAGGCTCCCCAGGGTGAGGAAAAATGGCAAAAGAGATGTTGCAGCTGGGCTGAGATAAAAGGCAAAGCCTCTGCTGGCTCCTCAGGGGAGGTTTGGGTGTCAGGGAAATGCCTTACTCTTTGCAATCTCAGCTTCTCCTTCTCTGCTGAACTTCTGTGTAATTTCTGAGGTACCTGCAATTACAAAATGCAAGTTTCAGAGGAGATCCTGAATTGCACATGACACCCAGTCACTCCAACTCCCCCCAGAGCAGGGAATGAGGACACACCTCAGAGCACCCAGTGTCCCCAATCCCACCCCAAACTCCTGAACAAACCCCTCTGGTCCCCTCAGCCCCTCAGGGAACACCAGGGAGCTGCTCTGAACCACAGGGCACATTTCACTATGGCAAACTCACTTCCTTCCAGCTCAACTTATGTTTCTTTGGGCTTTTTTTTTTTTAATCCATCTTGCTGTGATATTTAGCTGAACTTTATAAATACAAGGACTGTTTTCCACATTTTAACACTTTTTGTCATCACAGTCCACTTGATCTTCCACCAGTAGCAGCTCACTGATCCTAAGTTCCAAACAGGGCACACTTCTCATTTATATTTTATTCATGGGGGGGAGAAAAAGGTGTTTTATGCATAAGACCATTGTTCATAGACTGGTTAAAGGCCTAATTTGTCAACATTTCAGTGATTTACTGATTTACTGGATGTCCCCTCCTCCTGCTGCCATTGACAGCATCACATTTAAATTGTGATTAACAGGCTAACACAGCCCAACTGCTTTATTTTCTATATTTATCTGATCTAAAACAGGAGTTCTGTCAAGTGGGGGCTTCAGCTCCTCTGAGCTGTTTCCTCCCAGGAAAACAAAGCTGCCAGGACTCCCAGCTGCACAGCTTGGGGTGCAGCCCCTCATTTTGGGGAGCAGCAGGAGCAAATCCAGCCCCCCTGGCAGGACTGGGTTACACCAGGAGTGCTTTCTGCTGCTCTGCTACACTGGAAATGCTTCATGCCTGCTTGAGTGTGTCTGTTTATTTTAGGGATGGAAGATTGGGAGTTCTCACACAGGAGGAATTGAGCACTTGACTGGATAAACACAACAAAAGGACTGGGAGAACCTTGCCCGTGCTGTTTGAGCCACCTGAGCAGATGCTGCTGCCCTTGGAAGCTTCTCTGCCCAAACTGCCCCAAAATCCAGGGTGGTTGGGGGCCTCCTGTTGAAGCACAGCTGCTAAACTGAAATTTAGGTGACCAAAAACCCCCTGACCCAGAGCTTTCTCATGGAATCCCAGAAAGCTTTGGGTTGGGAGGGACTTGGAGCCCATCCAGTGCCCCCCCTGCCATAGCACAGGTGTGCCAGGCTGCTCCAAGCCCACCCAGGGCACTGCCAGGGATGAGGCAGCTGAGCTGCTCTGGGCACCCCGTGCCAGAGCTTCTCCCTGGCAGCTGCAGGAATTCAGAGCTGGAAAAGCACCTGCACTGGCTGCACTGGGGGAACATCCCCAGGGGAATCCCAGCAGCTCTGAGGAGGACAAAACAGAGCTTGGGGAAAACCACCTCAAGCACAGAGCTGCTCTTGGATGCTGTTCCCAAAACACCAAGCCCAGGTGGGCATTTCACTAAAGAAATGTAACTACAGCAGCAGCCAGAGCCAGGGAGGATCAAATCCTTGAGCTGCAGGGTTTAAAGACCCCAGAGGGCAACAACTCAGGAATTAATCCCCACTCAGGAATTAATCCCCACCACACCCCTGTGCTGTTTGAGCCACCTGAGCAGATGCTGCTGCCCTCAGAAGCTTCTCTGTCCAAACTGCCCCAAAATCCAGGGTGGTGTTTGCCCCACTCACCCTCTCCCCCACCACCCCAGGACCCCAACCACTCCAGCAGAGGGCCTGCACCCCAAAGCAGAGCAGACCAACCTTCCTGGCAGGTGTGGAGGCAGCCAGAGGGCTGCTGCTGCCCTTGCCCTGTGCCAGCAGCTCGGGGGAGCTGCCGGGGCTCAGCGAGGAGTTGCTCAGTCCTGAGTCCCCCTCGTGGGACGACTCCAGGGCCTCGCTCTCCGAGGCAGCGTCCACAGGGGCCACCTGGGGGCCCTTCAGGCTCATGATGTCCTCCAGCAGCACCACGGGCACCTTCCCCTCAAAGAGCACGTCCTTCAGTTCGCCCTGAGCGCCCTTCCTGCCCGCCAGGTCCCTGCAGGCCGTGGGCTGGGGCCCAGCTCCTGCAGCCTGCCCTGCCTGGGGCCCCTCAGTCCCCGTGGAGTCTCCTGCCGGGCTGCTCTGCCAGGAGCTCGGGCAGCTCAGCTCTTTTCCTGCGGGGCCATTGCTCACAGCAGCTGTAGAATCCACGTCCCCCGGCTCTGTGCTGTCCCCGAGTCCGTGGGCAGAGCCCCTGCAGAGGTCAGGAACGCCCCCGGGGTCACTCGTGTCACCTCCTGGGTTTTTCTGGATAAAATGGTCCAAGGGACCCTTCCCGTTGATGAGCTTTGGAGTCAAATTCCCATCTGAGCCCAGCTGGCAGTCGTTCTCCACATTGTCCAGGGAGGCACCCGAGGCATCCAGGGAGGGATCCTTGCTGGGAGCAAAAGCACTCGGGGAGCTCTTGACTTTTTTGAGTTCTGAGTGGACATCGAGGTTCTCCTTTGGCACGGGGTTGAGGCGCTTGAAGGGCAGCCGAGCTGCAAGAACAACACAGCTTAGAGACAGGCAGGGGCACTTGGACACACAGAGATGCTCTACTCACAGCCCAGCCAATATCTCATGACAAATCAGCTCTGAGATGTTTCAACGTGCTACAAACTGTGCAGGGTGAGGGACACTGCCTTACCTTGGACGAGCTTCCGTGGGGGAACAGCAGCTTTGTCTCTGCACTCCATGGCTACGGGAGAAAACGACAGATCAGCACCCGGGGCTGCTCCCAGCGAGCCGCTGCTTCCCTGGGAGGGCTGGGGCAGAGCCCAGCAGCTCTCCCGGGGCCGGTGAGGGCGGACAAAGAGCTCCCGGTGCCACCGCCAGGGCACAGGCACCCACCGGCTCCCACAGCCGCAGCGTGCCCCTCGCTGGGCCGGGCAGGAACGCCCCCAGGAGCCCGTGCGTGCAGCCAGGGCGGTGTGAGGAGGGAATTCCGGGCTGTGAGGAGGGAACTCCGGGATGTGAGGAGGGAATTCCGGGATGTGAGGAGGGAATTCCGGGCTGTGAGGGCGGGCCGGGCCTGGCACAGGTGCCCAGGCTCCCCGGCGCCGCTGGCAGCGCCCGGGCACAGCGGAACGCGGCCCTGCCCGCCGCGGCGGCGCGGCCTTTCGGATCACTCCGCACCCAACCCGCTCCGGCCGCTCCGGGCCCGCTCCCGCCCGGCCCGTCCCGCTCGTACTTGGCGGGAGCCGGGGCGACCCCGCGCCGCGCGCCGCTGATTGGCCCGCAGCGCCCCACGTGACGCGCCCGGCCACGCTCCCCCCCTGCGTCGCGCCTTCCGATTGGCTGCCGCCGAGAGCGGCGGTGATTGGCGGAGCGGGCTGTCGGTCTGGCGCGCTGCGGGCGCTGATTGGGTGGTTTTGTAGAGGGCCGGCGGGGCGCCGCTGGGTCCCTGAGCCTGGGCCCGAGGCCTACCCGCTCGCCGGGCGGGACCGATGCCGCGGCGGGCCGGAACGGCCTGTCCGCAGCAGCGGGCGGAGGGGGCGGAGCCAGCACTGCCGCCCGCCGGGCCGCTACGGGCATCGAGCCAACGCGCGAAATGGCGGCGCTGCCGGCGGCCAATCAGCGCCCGCCGCTGCAAGGCGCAGGCCGGCGGAAGCGGCGGCGGGGACGGGCCGGGCTGGGCTGGGACGGGCGGAGCGTCCTGAGGCTCCCGAGGCTCCCGCCGCCCCCCTGCAGCTCCCGCCGCCCGCACACCGGCTCCCCGCCGCCCCCCGGGCCAGGCACCGGCACCATGTCGGTGGCGGGGCTGAAGAAGCAGTTCTACAAAGCGACCCAGGTGAGACACCGGCGCCCCGCGCCCGTTCCCGCCGCCGTTGGGCTCCGGGGAGGCCGCTCGTCCCTTAGCGGTTCGGAGGAGCCGCTGCTGGCCGGCCCCCCGCCGTTCTGCCCTGCCGCCATCCCGGTGCCGGCCCCGCCGGGCATCCCCGGTGCCCCCGGTGCCCAGCCTGGCTCCCGGGCTGGCACCGCCGGTTCTCGGTGGGATCCCGGGGATCCCGGTGCGGGCCCTGAGCGGAGCTGGGGGGGCCCGGTGTGGGGGATCCGTTCTCCCGGTGGGAGCGCGGAGGGGACCGGGCAGGGAATGGAGCGGGGGCTGCGGGCCCGGGGACACCGGGGAGTCCCGGGGGGGCTTCCCCCTTCACCGGAGCGGGGCCGATCCGGCCCTGAACCGGCCGGGAGAGGCGCAGCAAGCCCCGGTAAGGCCGGGCGAGAGCTGCAGCCCGGCCCGGGAGCTCCCGGTGCTGCGGAGCGGCTGGAGCGGGGCTGGAGGATGCTGGGAGCCGTAGTTTTCCATTTGGAGTGTCTGTCGCCCCATTTTCCCCCCAGGCCTATGGCGGGAGTCCCGGCCCGGTTGTCCCCGTGTCGCACACGCGGTGGGCGCTGGATCCCTCAGGAGAGGGCTGCGCCATAGTCATATCCCGATATGACCGTGTCGCGACAGAACGACTCTCTCCGCCGCTCAGCCGCGCCCCTTGGCGGTTCCGCCCGGCCGGCAGGGGGCGCGCTGGCTCCGCGCGGCGCTCCCGGTGTGGGGGATCCGTTCTCCCGGTGGGAGCGCGGAGGGGACCGGGCAGGGAATGGAGCGGGGGCTGCGGGCCCGGGGACACCGGGGAGTCCCGGGGGGGCTTCCCCCTTCACCGGAGCGGGGCCGATCCGGCCCTGAACCGGCCGGGAGAGGCGCAGCAAGCCCCGGTAAGGCCGGGCGAGAGCTGCAGCCCGGCCCGGGAGCTCCCGGTGCTGCGGAGCGGCTGGAGCGGGGCTGGGGAAAGCCTGAAAAAGGCTGGAAAAAGGGCTGGAAAAGGCTGGGAAAGGGCTGGAAAAAAGGGCTGAGAAAGGGCTGGAAAAGGCTGGGAAAGGGCTGGAAAAAGGGCTGGGGAAAGGGCTGAGAAAGGGCTGGAAAAGGCTGGGAAAGGGCTGAGAAAAGGGCTGGAAAAGGGCTGGGGAAAGCTTGGAAAGGGCTGGGAAAAGGGCTGAGAAAGGGCTGGGAAAGGCTGGGAAAAGGGCTGGAAAAAGGCTGGAAAAGGGCTGGGGAAAGCTTGGAAAGGGCTGGGAAAGGCTGGGAAAGGGCTGGGGAAAGCCTGGAAAAGGGCTGAGAAAGGGCTGGAAAAGGCTGGAAAAGGGCTGGGAAAAGGCTGAGAAAAGGGCTGAGAAAGGGCTGGGAAAGGCTGGAAAAGGGCTGGGGAAGGGCTGGAAAAGCTCCCGAGTTCCAGCCAGCAGCGAGGAGTTCGTGCCCCGTCCTTGCAGCTCTTCCCCCTCTCCCAGCCCTGCAGGATCAAGGCCGGGCTGGGAGCAGCCTGGCTCTGCAGTGGGGTCACCGTGAGCCCTTGCAGGGTTCGGGGTGGGATTGTGCCCCAGTCAGGGCTCAGGAACACCTCCTGCTGTCCCTCAGAACGGGGATGGCCGTTCCTGATCCCCCCGAGCAGGATTCCCCTTCCCACACCTCCTGTGAACAGCTGGGAGCTTTTGTTGGTGCACTTTGGGAAGGATTCAGGAATCACAAATCCCCCTCCGCCGCTGCTTTCCTGCCCCTGGTTTGGATTCCAGATGAATTTGGCACAGATTGTGGTTTCCATCCCTGAGTTTAAACCCTTCCAGCTCGTCCCAGCCCTGTGTGCGACGTGTGTCCCCTTCTCCCTTTCCCCAAATCCATTTCATTTACCCAGCAAAGCAAAAGAAGCAATTCCTGAAGTCATCCTCCACCCCCTTTCCCACTAACCCCACGGTGGGGTGGATTTTTGGTGTTTTTTCACATTTTCCATGGGGAAAGGGCTCGGTGTGGGAGGATTTTGCTGGCCTGGCTGTGCCTGGTGCTGTCAGGAGCTGAAAACCCCTCAGTGACTCAGGACTAACATGTTCCTAAGCCCAAAAATATCATTTTAAACCCCAGAAGAAGCCGTTTTTTGGAGGAATTACAGATTATTGCAGAGGTGCTGCCTCCCCTTGCAGTGCTCCAGGGACAGAGGTGTCCATGACTCGGAGATGCTCTGATGAAACTGGGAGGCACTGGTTCCAGTTTGGCCATTTTTTTGTCTCCTCTTCCCTTTTCCCCCTTTCTCCCCTTTCCCCCCTCTGGTCCCACTCAGCCCTTGGCTGAAGGAGAGGAGGATTAGTTATTTTTTTGGCTCCCTCCAAACCATCAGGAGCTGCCAAAGCCCAACATGTGGAAGATCTTTCCTAAAATGTTACGTTTTGTTCCACGTCTGTCCTTAATGAAGGCAGGCAGAGCCAGGAGCGAGGCCTGCAGGGACCCCAGAGGGTTTGGGATGCCTGTCCAGGCTCCAGGGGGAGCAGGGCTGGGCTCCTGGTGCTCATCCCTGTGATTCCTCCAAGCCCACGTCTCCCCTGGGTGAGGCAGCCGGGCGCCCACACGCAGGAGAGAGCCTGGAGTATCCTGGAAAAAAAATAAATAAATCAAATCTGAGTCGTGCTGGCAAATGCTGCAGATGGGGAGCAGCTCTGAGTGTGTCCAGAACAGGTTCTGCCTGTTCACAGCAAACTGTTCTCTAAAAAAATAAAGCTGGAGAAAACATCCTGGGGAAGGGGGAGAAGCAGCAGCAGCTTGGAGCTGGGAACAGGGTGGGAAGTCCCTGCCTGCTCCAAGGCTTCATCCAGCCTGCAATTCACAGGCACCTTCTGCTGTGGAAACAGCTTCCTTTGCACCCTTTGGGCTTTGCACAAACTGATGGCAATCCCAAAATCCTGCAAACCCTCCCAGGCAGTGGGCAGGGCAGGCTGCTGTTCCTGGGGAATCCTGAGGGGTGGGAGCAGCAGCGGGGCTGGGGGGATCCCAGAGCCCTGCCTGGCTCAGCTGGCAGCAGCAGGAGCTCCCTGGGGACAGGGGAGAGCGGGATGGGGAGAGCAGGATGGGGAGAGGAGGATGGGGAGAGCAGGATGGGTTTGTGCTGCCCTGGCAGAGCCAGCTCTGGGGAATTCAGGATGGGGAGAGCAGGATGGGGAGAGCAGGATGGGGAATGCAGGATGGGGAATTCAGGATGGGGAGTGCAGGATGGGGAGTGCAGGATGGGGAATTCAGGATGGGGAATTCAGGATGGGGAGTGCAGGATGGGGAGTGCAGGATGGGGAATTCAGGATGGGGAATTCAGGATGGGTTTGTGCTGCCCTGGCAGAGCCCAGCTCAGGGTGGGAGCACTGGCATTGCCAGCACAGCTGCTGGGGGTGCTGCCCCTGCTCCACAGCAGGGTTTGGGGTGGAGAGAGCTCAGAGCTCCTCTCCTTGCACTCATGGCAGTGCCCAAGGCCAGTGGGGCAGGGCTTGGAGCAGCCTGGGACAGTGGCAGGGCTGGGACAGGATGGGATTGAGGCCAGTCTGGGGTTCAGCCCTGGGTGCTGCTGCCATTCCAAACTGGATTAACGTGCTCCTGTGTGAGCTGAGCCTAAACCCTGCCAGGCCTGCCTGGGCTCAGGAGCTCGTGCTGGCGGAAGGCACAGCCCAACCTCCTCCTCCTCCTCCTCGTCCAGAGCCATTTTCCAGGAGGGGAAAAGGCGAGTGCTAATTAAATCTCAGCAGCCTTGACACACACACACATTTCCCTGGGTTTGATGACAGCTCCCAGGGCCTCCAGGGGTATTTTTGGCCATAAAGAGCCCCTTGCTCCCTGCCTGGCCCGGGATGTGCTCCAGAGCCCAGCAGGATCTGCCCTTCCCGAGCTGCCTGGGCCAGCAGGGAAAGCTTTCCCTGGCCTGGCAGCTTCCTGCAGGTGCTGCTGTGGGCTGAGCAGGGGAATGTGCTCCCAGAGCGTGTGTGACACTGAGGAGACAGCTGGTGAGGGCATTTCCCCTTTTTTTTGGCCTTTGTGGTCATTGCTTGTGGTGCTGCTGAGCTGGGATTTCCTTCACTTCTCTCTGGGTTTCCTTTCTTCCCTCCTCAGCCCAGGTTCTCTGTGCTGATTTTTGCTCTGCTTTCACGTGTGGGATTTTTCTTCCCTTTCCCAGGTGAACCTTTGAAAAGCTCCTTCTTTTTTTTGTTGTTCATTTTGGGGTTTTTCTGACATTAACTCACCCCTGCTCCCTCTGGCCTCTCCAGCTTTCTCTGGGAGGCAGGAGGTGCCTTTGGGGTGGTTTGGGTTGGAAAGGACCTCAAAGCTCATCCCATTCCATGGGCAGGGACACCTTGCAGTGTCCCAGACTGCTCCAAGCCTTGGGCACTACCAGGGATGGGGCATCTTTGGGAAGCTGTGCCAGGGCCCCAGCACCCCGTGAGCAGAGAGGGGAGCAGGGAGTTCCCGGGGGAGGGATTTGGCAGCATCAGCCTCTAAGCTCCTTATCTGTACATGGGAATTTGGACTGGGAAGTCGAGGGATTTTGCTGATTCCTGCCAGCCTGGAGCCTCCTGCCAACCTCTGTCCCACAGCACCTGATGTTTCTGTGTTAACATTAACTGGGCTGCATTCCCCTGCAGCTGCTGGGTTTATCTTTCCACATTAATCTGCTCCCGAGGCTGGGGAAAGCTGGATTTGCTGGGGTGACATCCTCCAGCTCTGCTTCCATCCCAGAGCATCCAGCTGTGCTGGCACTGGGCAGGGCTGTTCTGCTGTTGTGTTTGCAGATCCACAGGGAAAAGGAGGCTCAGGGGAGCCCTCCTTCCTCTCCCTGCGAGGGGACAGGGCTCAGTCTGCCAGGGAACGAGTGACAGCAGGGAGGAAACGGCCTCGCTGAGGCTGAAATTTGATACTAATGCAAATTTTTCCATGGAAAAGGCTGTCAGGCGTTGGAACAGGCTGCCCAGGGCAGTGGTGGAGTCCCCATCCCTGAAGTGTGG